AGTACTTTTTGGAAATGTAGCGACTGTTTTGGATTGAACTCACAACTTCGTCATGATGTTTGAGGGATTTTGGCCATTCTTCTAAAGAATGAGCGTTTGTATATTTAGAACGGTTGGAGAGTCGGCGGACGAAGAATTTAGCGTAACTTTTGCACACGGCGTCTGCTTTGGGCCCAGAAGAACTTTTTGTAAATGTAGCGACCGTTTTGGATTGAACTCACCACTTCGTCGTGATGTATGAAGGATTTCGGCCATTTTTCGAAAGAATGAGCACTTTCATATTTGGAACGTTTGGATTGTCGGCGTACGAAGAATTGAGTGTAACTTTTGCACACGGTGTCCGTTTTTGGCCCATAAGTACTTTTTGGAAATGTAGCGACCGTTTTGGATTGAACTCACCACTTCATCGTGACGTACGAGGGATTTTGGCCATTCTTCGAAAAATGAGCGCTTGTATGCTTAGAACGCTTGGAGAGTCAGCGGACCAAGAATTTGAGCGTAACTTTTGCACACGGTGTCCGCTTTGGGCCCGTAAGATCTTTTTGGAAATGTAGCGACCGTTTTGGATTGAACTCACCACTTCGTCATGACGTATGAAGGATTTCGGCCATTTTTCGAAGGAATGAGCAATTGCATATTTGGAAGGCTTGGATTGTCGTAGTACGAAGAATTGAGCGCAACTTTTGCACACGGTGTCCGTTTTGGGCCCATAAGTACTTTTCGAAAATGCAGCGACCATTTTGGATTGAACTCACCACTTCGTCGTGACGTATGAGGGATTTCGACCATTTTTCAAAAGAATGAGCACTTGCATATTTGGAACGCTTGGATTGTCGGCGTACGAAGAATTGAGCGCAACTTTTGCACACGGTGTCCGTTTTGGGCCCATAAGTACTTTTCGAAAATGCAGCGACCATTTTGGATTGAACTCACCACTTCGTCGTGACGTATGAGGGATTTCGACCATTTTTCAAACGAATGAGCACTTGCATATTTGGAATGCTTGGATTGTCGGCGTACGAAGAATTGAGCGCAACTTTTGCACACGGTGTCCGTTTTGGGCCCATAAGTACTTTTCGAAAATGCAGCGACCATTTTGGATTGAACTCACCACTTCGTCGTGACGTATGAGGGATTTCGACCATTTTTCAAACGAATGAGCACTTGCATATTTGGAATGCTTGGATTGTCGGCGTACGAAGAATTGAGCGCAACTTTTGCACACGGTGTCCGTTTTGGGCCCATAAGTACTTTTCGAAAATGCAGCGACCATTTTGGATTGAACTCACCACTTCGTCGTGACGTATGAGGGATTTCGACCATTTTTCAAACGAATGAGCACTTGCATATTTGGAATGCTTGGATTGTCGGCGTACGAAGAATTGAGCGCAACTTTTGCACACGGTGTCCGTTTTGGGCCCATAAGTACTTTTTGGAAATGTAGCGATCGTTTTGGATTGAACTCACAACTTCATCGTGACGTACGAGGGATTTTGGCCAACCTTCGAAGGAATGAGCGCTTGTATACTTAGAACGCTTGGAGAGTCAGCAGACAAAGAATTGAGCGTAACCTTGGCATACGGTGTCCGCTTTGGGCCCATAAGAAATTTTTGGAAATGTAGCGACCGTTTTGGATTAAACTCACCACTTCGTCATGACGTATGAGGGATTTCGGCCATTTTTCAAAAGAATGAGCAATTGCATATTTGGAAGGCTTGGATTGTCGGCGTACGAAGAATTGAGCGTAACTTTTGCACGTGGTGTCCGTTTTGGGCCCATAAGTACTTTTTGGAAATGGAGCGACCGTTTTGGATTGAACTCACCACTTCGTCGTGACGTACGAAGAATTGAGCGTAACTTTTGCACGTGGTGTCCGTTTTGGGCCCATAAGTACTTTTTGGAAATGGAGCGACCGTTTTGGATTGAACTCACCACTTCGTCGTGACGTACGAAGAATTGAGCGTAACTTTTGCACGTGGTGTCCGTTTTGGGCCCATAAGTACTTTTTGGAAATGGAGCGACCGTTTTGGATTGAACTCACCACTTCGTCGTGACGTACGAAGAATTGAGCGTAACTTTTGCACGTGGTGTCCGTTTTGGGCCCATAAGTACTTTTTGGAAATGTAGCGACCGTTTTGGATTGAACTCACCACTTCATCGTGACGTACGATGGATTTTGGCCATTCTTCGAAAAATGAGCGCTTGTATACTTAGAACGCTTGGAGAGTCAGCAGATAAAGAATTGAGCGTAACTTTTGCACACGGTGTCCGCTTTGGGCCCGTAAGATCTTTTTGGAAATGTAGCGACCGTTTTGGATTGAACTCACCACTTCGTCATGACGTATGAGGGATTTCGGCCATTTTTCAAAAGAATGAGCAATTGCATATTTGGAAGGCTTGGATTGTCGTCGTACAAAGAATTGAGCGTAACTTTTGCACACGGTGTCCGTTTTAGGCCCATAAGTACTTTTCGGAATTGTAACGACTATTGTGGATTGAACTCACCACTTCATCGTGACGTAAGAGGGATTTTGGCCTTTCTTCGAATGAATGAGCGCTTGTATACTTAGAACGCTTGGAGAGTCGACGGACGAGGAATTGAGCGTAACTTTTGCACACGGTGTCCGGTTTGGGCCCGTAAGATCTTTTTGGAAATGTAGCGACCGTTTTGGATTGAACTCACCACTTCGTCATGACGTATGAGGGATTTCGGCCATTTTTCGAAAGAATGAGCAATTGCATATTTGGAAGGCTTGGATTGTCGTCGTACGAAGAATTGAGCGCAACTTTTTGCACACGGTGTCCGTTTTGGGCCCATAAGTACTTTTCGGAAATGTAGCGACCATTTTAGATTGAACTCACCACTTCGTCGTGACGTAAGAGGGATTTTGGCCTTTCTTCGAAAGAACGAGCGCTTGTATACTTAGAACGCTTGGAGAGTCGACGGACGAAGAATTGAGCGTAACTTTTGCACACGGTGTCCGGTTTGGGCCCATAAGATCTTTTTGGAAATGTAGCGACCGTTTTGGATTGAACTCACCACTTCGTCATGACGTATGAGGGATTTCGGCCATTTTTTGAAAGAATGAGCAATTGCATATTTGGAAGGCTTGGATTGTCGTCGTGCGAAGAATTGAGCGCAACTTTTGCACACGGTGTTCGTTTTGGGCCCATAAGTACTTTTCGAAAATGTAGCGACCATTTTGGATTGAACTCACCACTTCGTCATGACGTAAGAGGGATTTTGGCCTTTCTTCGAAAGAATGAGCGCTTGTATACTTAGAACGCTTGGAGAGTCGGCGGACGAAGAATTGAGCGTACGCTGACAATCCAAGCGTTCCAATTATGCAAGTGCTCATTCTTTCGAAAAATGGCCGAAATCCCTAATACGTCACGACGAAGTGGTGAGCTCAATCTAAAATGGTCGCTACATTTCCAAAAAGTTCTTATGGTCCCAAAACGGACACCGTGTTCAAAAGTTACGCTCAATTCTTCGTCCGCCGACTCTC